CAACAAAGTCCCGTGAGTTTTTCGGTGATTTTGTCATTTTTCCGGTGATTTCGGCGACCATTTCCTTCAAGTGAGGTATGAAACTTCATTTACTCTTCATAATCTTCAAGTTGGTATGCTTGGTTCGTGCTTTTGTAGTTGTTTTAGTGTTGGGTGTTTAGAAACCTAGAAATCTTGTTTTCCCCAATGAAATTGGACGGTTTACGGCTTGAATTTGTCGTTTGCTTAGTTGTGAAAAGTGTTTCCCTTCTTGAGTTCTATCTACCTCGTAAATTTGAGCCCTTTTGGTTAAGATTGAAAACTCAAGTTTTCTAAACCCTCCACCTTGGCTACCATCGCGTGTGGTGGTGCGTGGGCCTGTCCACAAGTGTTAGCTAACTACCAAAGACCTTTTTGCGACCTTGTGAACCTGTGTCTAACTCGGCTTTTCGAAATTCAATTGGTTGGTGTGGTGATCAAATTGGACCCCTACTCGTTTGTATGATTGACGACAATCCGATCATTGGATTGTCGTGCAATTTTGTGAGCATCCTAGTTACTAGTTGTTGGACCTTTGAGAACCTACATATCATAAATCTGATGTGCGGATCTTTGGATTGAATAACCTTAGTTTGTTGACCTTAGTGAGACCTAGTTTGACCGTTCTAATGTGTCGTTATTTTTAGAATGTTGTTGAGGCTTGATGGAGCTTAGTTGGCTTACCACGATGACGTGTCATTCTTTGTTGACGTGCTCTCAATTTACGTGCAAGTGACACTTGGCCTCGGTTTGTGTCTCAGTCTTACTAAGTTTCCTAAGTGAGATTTGCATGTTGTATTAGGTTCCTTTGAGGTGTTGGTGAATCTGGAAGTGTGAAGAACTCCATATTATATGATATGGTTATTACCCATGAAATTCCTTGTTATATACTATGTGGATATAACATGGATTTACAAATGATTTTATAGAAATGTGTGTTACTATGCTATGTTTACTTGATGATGTTATCGAAAATATATATTTATGATATGCTTGATATGATTGTGATATGTGAGGGCTAGTATATAACCGTTAACCCAATACATAAGGTGATGTGGGATAAAATCAGAATCTGCACCATGTAGCAGTGGTACATGGATGGTCATGCTTGGTTAATCCGCAACGGGGGACCATACTACTTTGGGATCATGCTTGGTTAATTCGCGATGGGCGATCCCTATTATTTAGGTATAGCCATACATTTTAAAAGTGATCATGCTTGGTTAATCCGTTATGAGTGATCATGCATTTTAAAAGTGATCATGCTTGGTTAATCCGTTATGAGTGATCATGATTGGTTAATCCGTTATGAGTGACTTTGCTTGGTTAATCCGCAATGGGAGGTCTTTACCTACACAGTTGGTATGCTTGGTTAATCCGTAATGGGGAACCACATCTTGATCAGTTGCCTATTATAGGCTTTGACCGAACTGTGTCTCTCTATAGCCCTAGACTATTGTTTATTACATATATGAAAGATAAGAAGGCATGTGTAGCTCAATCTAGAAAGTGACAATTAAATCAAATAGTTTACATGATAGTGTTGCCTAAAAGAGATCGGATCCGGATGTGAATCATTCTTACTCATAACGAAGAGATGCAATGATGAAAAAGATACCAATCTCATTCCTACACATGGTTGAATTATTGATGGTGCGTTATTCTTACATAACTTTGGGTTGTGTGATGACTGAATGTTATCACGATAGATGTGTGGTGAGATTCAAAATTGAATAACCATTCCTATAAGTATTAATGAGGTGTATGGTGGTTAAATTATAATATATGTGGAGACTGGACCCTTGTGATTACTCGGAATTGATGAAAGGTGAGTGGTGAGTCACAATTCGAAGAAAATAACGGAATAATATTGATGGTGATTGGATTGACACGATATTTAGAGAAAAGTCATGTGTGGACGTAGCACTACTTTTCATTAATCATTTGATGATATTTATTTTCACATATGTTGTATTATTGTCACTTACACAAGCTTCGTAGCTTATCCAGATTTTTCTTTGCCTAGTGCGCCATTTCCACGGCGTATGGTTATTTTGCAGAGTAACTGGTAGCGGTTGGAGGAGAAGATTGCATGTGGTGTTGCTGTGTGGACAGCGCACTCGAGAGTAAGTATTACCTCCCTTTGTTATAAGTATTTTTTTTCCGCTGAGCTTTGATGTATATTATATGTATGAGTCTTAGTGACTCTATGTATTTTATATTGTACCGATACTGTCCTATCGTCGCTTGTTGATTCCGAGCGTATCTCGGGATCGGGGCGTGACACGAAGACTTTTTGCGGTAAGATGGAGCTTCATGTCTTGAACTCACTTTAGGTAATTTCTTCCAGATACTTCCAAAGCGGTGAAATCGAGCTTATTCAAGTTCAACATGTCCCTAAAACATAAGGTACAACAAAACATGGTTAGTCGTATGGAATGTCATAGGCATACATCGTAGAACATTCGGGTTTTATAGACATGTATAGGTTTAATTTAAAACATGAAAGCTACGAGTTTCATGCTGTAAGTTTTGAATGAAAACTTTCGATTTCAAATGCGCTAAATTTGAAACCACAAGTTTGATAATTATGAACTTCTAGTTCATGTATAGGGGTACCTGCAAGAACAAAGAATACAATATACAACTAAGTGTAATGAATTTGGGGAATTGCTTTAGGAACCCAAGTGTGAGTGCATCGAGACTACGAAAGATAGTCAACGGTTCAAAGAAGAAATAATTTATTGAATCGTTAATTGCCAAAAAGTAGGCTTCAAGCCAATAATTTTGGATGTCTTGTCAGATTAATGGACTGTTGGTCATTTTAATTAATTTAATAGATTGTAACCATCGTATGAGCAAAATAATAACATTCGGGTTAATAGTAGCTTGAATTTTGGCTTCGAGCCAAGCGACAATAAAATTATCGCTTGATAAGTGTTAACCAAATGTCTTAAAAATTATAGGAGTATAGTTATGAAGTGGGGATGCCAAAAACATAGCATTGGGTTCGAAAAAATCACAGCCAGCATGGTGGCTGGCTGCAGTGTATGGGGTTTTGCTCTGCAAGAGTTGCAGGCCTATTTGAGCCACGGGGAAAGGCTGCAAAGGAGCCCAAATCTTAGCTGCAGGCCATGGGCTGTTTCTAGGATGAAGCCTAGCAGCATAAGCTGTTGGTTTTAGGCAAAAAAATGGACCGAAGGAATAAGCCCAGCACGTAGGCTGGTCTGGGGTATGCGCGCAAGGCCCAACCAAGGGCTTGCTTTGATTTGGCCAGGTTCTAGGCAAGCCCATCCACAAGGGCTGGCTTTTATGGTCGCGGGCCAGGGAAAAAGACGACCCCAGCAAGCAAAGCTTACTGCATGCGGGCCGAATCATATGCGGGCAAAGTCTAGCAAGCATAAGCTTGCTGGCATGATGGGCCGAGGCAAGGACAAAGCCCAACAAGGCTTGCAAGCTTGCTGGTGGACTTAGGGCTTTAGGCCCGTGAGGAATCCAACCCAGGCCGAGGCCTGGTTGTTGGTGCATTGGCAACAAGCCCACGGGGCTACTACGAGCGGTCTATGATGTCGAAACGACGTCGTCCGAGTAATGATGTGGCTGCAGACCAGTTGGCTTAGCTCAGTAGTGCAACGTGGAGCCGCGAGAAATCCATAAAAAAAAAAAAATTTATTTTTTCGATTTCCGGGGTTAAAAATCATAATTGCTTCTAAATTAATTGCGATGCTTTGACTCACAAATTCCACATAGCATAATTTCATATTGCATGAACAAGTATATATATTGACAAATTATATGAAAACATATGCAATATATATAATTGGAAGGAAAATATAAATATAGAGCATTTATGCGTCATGGGGAATATTTCATGCTTCAAGGTCATTTGAAATATTTTAATTTATTTTAAAAGAACCTGATTGACATAAAACAATTGAGCCTTTGATTTTGTAGAAGAGCCTCATCCACGATCCTTCAGTTCCTTAGCTTTTGGCAAGAGCGTGCTAATAATGTATTATAGACCTAATTTACTGAACTGTATTTACGGCTAGGGAGAGAAGGGTCGGGGGCACAGAGAGAGAAGAGAGAGATGTGGTTTGTGAGGTGTGTGTTATATCACCTCATTGTGCCTTTATTTATAATAGAAGGGAAGGTTAAATCTTAAGGGAATACTGTTAATTCCTAAACTAAAAGCTCACTTGCATATATAAAACATCATTACATTAATACAAAAATAATTTATTCCATAAAAAATATGAAATTTCTCTTCTAGAAAATACTCATTCATGTAGTTCTACAAGCTGTCAAGCATCCTTGTAAGAGTATCTCGAATGATATAGACAATGGAATAAGTAAACTCGTTTTGATGAGTTACGTATGCAAACAAAAGAAAGTAATGAAAGTACAATTTTTGATTATCTATTGAACTGATAAATCATTTTTAATGAGACAAGTAAGCAACATACCACGTCACTCATAACCTATACCATTGGAAATGCTCTAACTTTCAAAATGAAAATTCTGTTGTCAAGAAAGATAAAATAAAAAAGATAATACTAGAGAGATCAAAATTTTAATCCAAATTTTATAAATTAAATGCAGTAATTGTTGATGATTAGGTTATCAACTTAAATATCAATTAACGTTTTTATTTTTTTTTAGTGAAATATTATTTGATTGTAAATTTTATTTTTTACAAATCATTAGTTTAAAAATTTCGTGTCATTAACATTATCCAAATATAAATAAGCATTGCGATCGCCCATACAGGCGAGGTCATCGATCCGCACCATTTAATGATTACCAATCATAACGCACCACGTATACAGCCTAATCAACTAGCAAACCGCTCCTTTACGCTTCAATTCGAGCCGTCGATCTCCCAGTACACTCCACCGCATCCAACGGGCACTTTTCGCCACGTCATCGATCTGCGTCTGCCCCTTATCAACGACGTATATAAATACCAGACCTTGCCCGCATCACCTTTTATCCCACAAATTCCAAGTCCGCCCAATTTTCGTCTTCTCAAAGTTTCCGTTCGCTTTCCGAGAAAGAAAAGCCAAGAAGATATGGCGCCCAAAGCTGAGAAGAAGCCCGCCGAGAAGAAGCCCGCGGAGGAAAAGAAGTCCGCCGTGGCGGAGAAAGCCCCCGCCGAGAAGAAGCCCAAGGCCGGGAAGAAGCTCCCGAAGGAGGCCGGAGCCGCCGCCGGAGACAAGAAGAAGAAGAGATCGAAGAAGAGCGTGGAGACCTACAAGATCTACATCTTCAAGGTGCTGAAGCAGGTCCACCCTGACATCGGGATCTCCAGCAAGGCCATGGGAATCATGAACAGCTTCATCAACGACATCTTCGAGAAGCTCGCCCAGGAGTCATCCAGGCTCGCGAGGTACAACAAGAAGCCGACGATTACTTCCCGGGAGATCCAGACTGCTGTGAGATTGGTGCTGCCTGGTGAGCTTGCTAAGCATGCGGTGTCTGAGGGGACTAAGGCGGTGACTAAGTTTACTAGCTCTTGAAGAGTTAGGGTTAATGTGTTTAATTCTGTGGATTTGGGTTTGAGATTGGTTGTGAAGGAATTAGGGTTAGGGTTAGGGGTTTATGGGTTTTAATGCTTTTGATTATGTAAGTATTAAGTACTGATATTGTGCTATTGCGGTTTAAATTCTAAATGAAAGTACGATTTACCTAATTGATCCATTTCCTCTGTTAGTGTTTACCCATTTGATTATTTTCTTCAATTTCTGATTTAAGTTGGTATTTCAATTATTAATGATTTGATTAAGTTGGGGGAAAAAATGCTCAAATTTTCCCAAAATTATGTTGCAATATGTGTCCCTTTTTTTGTTCTAGGATTCCTTCAAACCATTTTGTTCTATCTTGTATGTTAGGGTTGGATCTTTCAATTATGTCAATTGTGGGTCTTGTTAGATATATGATATGATGCAGAGCTTCGAGATCCATATGAATGAAGTATGAAATGGTTGGTTGAGACACTGGTGTATGCAGAGCTTCGAATTGGGTTTAACATTTTCCTTGCTTTTATCTGTTCTGTTAAACGAGTTCATTTTTGTTCATCACTTTTCATATAGGTGAAGAAGTACGTTATCGGATTGGTAAGTGCTTTTGCAAAACGTGGATTAGCAGGATATGTTGGTATCCAGCCTTCCTGTGAACCGTGCTTTAATTCAGAAGCTCTTTCCATAATACACATAATTGGGTGAATCTCTGCCGAATGTGAAGAGTTTGCACTCATCAGCATTGTTGTGAGGTAGGAATATGCATCCATCTAAATTTTGTAGGTTGCATGTGGTTAGGTGTGTTGTGTTGTGTCCAAATCATGAATTTGGATGTATGCCTGAGGTGTTGTTTGTACCATGTATGCTGCAAAAGTTGTTTTATCCTTGTCTGTAGACATAATAAAGTGTTGGGTTTGGCCCTGGCCTGGCCTCTATATGCTGCATCATCTTGTGGTGTTTATTTTCCGATGTGACATGAACCGGATACTATTGGAGATTAGCTCTGCTACTAGTTTTGAGAAGCATCATTGGTGAGTATACTATTTTACCATATGCTGTGTAATTTAGAGTCGAAGTTGTGACGTATATAAGCAATGTTACTAGTTTTATTCTAGCTCTGATACTAGTTTGGTTTCTGGTTTGTTGCTCCTCATTTGCCCTTTGGTTGATGCCTGAAAGTAAAAGACTGCTCCAGTGGCAAGGCATAAGTGGTCGCTTCCTCAGTATTGGGAAGCTTTCTTGAAATAACTGTGTCAATGACCGTCAGGGCAATTACAGGAAGAGAACTTGGCTGCTATTGACTGCTCTTTAACTCTATTTCCCACATTTCATACAGTAGCTGAGCAATGTGGTAACATATTTCATCCCGGCAAAACCTTATTTTCGTTAATTTTCCAGTTTATCTCTTTTACTCATTCGCCTTAAAGAAAATCGCAATTGCACCCCTACATTTATCTGCTCATTGCTGTTTATGTTTGCTGCTATAACCATTTTCCCATTTACTTGATATATCCTAACTTTGTTGCCCATTGCTAATGTAAAACAGGTGCAGGAAATTATCTTCAGATCATTTGACTTGGAGCCTTTATCAGGAAGGGCCTTGTTAAAACAGATGGTGCAGTTTGGTCTGACCAAAGAAACACGAGAGCTCCAGTCCCCCGCGTTACAAGATCTAAGTTCAGATACTTCAATGATGGGTTCTGTTCTCTTGATTTGGAATTTGACACTCAAATGCTTGGTGGAATCAATAAGGTTTGTACAAACTCTTCTCTGATTCGAACTTGGTAGAAAGTTTGGTGTTGGCAGGCATCTGCAGATTTGTTCCAACTGGGAGAATAGAGTGGTCTGGAGATAAGGGAGAGATCATGAACATTGTGAAGGAGCTAAGAATGGTGAGTTTGGGTAACCCGCAGCTGTACAACTCGTAGTTAATAACCGCTAAGGCTTCAACGCGCGGCATTCTTCTGAAGTCATTAACATTATTGCCGCAGTATGCTTGGCAAGTTCTAAACGGGTTCGTAATGATTGCCGCAGTATTCTTATGAAGTTTAGTTAGCGCCAAAGCCAAACATTTCCCAGTACCTAGATCACGTTGGGGTAAATTGACGTGGTGTTCCTATCCGCCCCCATACAATCACAGAAGAAAATCGTGACCCCCTCTACGGACGAGAACATGCAACTGAACCAACAGATGAGGACAATTTCGTCATAACACCAAAAACTTGGACAAATGGTTCAACATACAACGTGCTTCCACCCCCTTCTATTGCTCCCTTAAGTGTTGTCTACAACCTAACACCCTAAAGCCACCTTCTTCCACAACTCTGTGAAATGTCTCTCTCGTTCTTCCACCCCATCCTCCAAGCTGCTGCGTCCAGGTGGCCGGTGTTTCTCTACATGACCACCTGGACGCTTCTTTTGTCAGTCACAGTGGCCTTGGCGTCTTTCTCTCCTGAGATTGCGTTCCTCACGGCGATATCACCCTTCTCACCCTTAGCCAAGTCTTGCACCGGAGAGGGGTTTGTTAGGTTACCCTTGGATTATCCGAGAGAGTCAATGTGCTTCCCGGCTCACATGATTCAGCGGTCTAGCTTGGATTTCTTCGTGCCGACGGTGTTTGCCGCCTTGATCGTGGCGGGGTCGGTTTTGGTCGTGCGGTCCTTGGGCTTATGGGAGGGTGAGAGACGCAGAGAGGTTGATCATGAATTGGTGTAGAGAAACCCAATTATATGATGAATTGGTTTCCTTTTTTTTATTTATTTTTATTTTTATTTTTTATTTTTTAATTTTGGCTGTTTTGAATGTTTGAATTTTTCTGATATCTGCGGGTTTCTGGGAAAGCTCAAAATACCATTTCATACAATATTATCATCCAGTGTGAGCAGCTTCTAAATGCACATAAGAATTTAATTAGCACAACCAGTGAAAAAACTAAAATTTGACAATGACTAACTGGAATTTAGACATATAAGTCTATTTGTCTAAACAAATTTATATGATTTAGCAGCCTTGTTTATAAAGGGTTTTTTTTGTTGTTGTAATTTTTAACAAAGGATATTATCTACGCTAAAGGAGATGAGATGAGTTTTGCCTCGCAATGGGCTACCAATGTAGTTCAAATTCGCATTTGGTGAGAATCGAACCTAAGACCTCTCACTTATAAATGAACAGGAATATCATTGGACTGTAGTACTAAGTAGTTATAAAGGGTTATTAATGTTTTTTTTTTCTTTTAACAAACAATATTATTCTTTTAACAAACAATATTATCTACACTAAAGGATGGAGAAGTGGACTAAGTCTCACACCCGTTAGCTATAATAATGTGGTTTAAATTCATATTTGGCGAAAATCGAACCTAAATCTCTTACTTACAAATAAAGAGAAATATTATACCAAAGGTTATTAATGTTAACACTGGAATTAAGAAACAATTGGGTCCATAGCTCAGTGGTAGAGCATTTGACTGCAGATCAAGAGGTCACCGGTTCGAACCCGGTTGGGCCCTCATATATTTTAATGTTGTTCTTATTTTTGCTGCTATTTACAGATAAATGCCCAATTTGATAATGTGGAGTGGATTTTTTTACAATAAAAAAAAAAAAATCTTTTTGGTTGAAATTTGCAAAGCATGATAAAATCACATGAAATGTGTAAACCCCCTCTAGCTAATACTTTGTCACATGAAAATATTGTTTACCTACTTATCACATAATCACATTTATCTTACAACATTGAAAATGCATATTTTCTCCAATTTCAGTTGTGTAAAAGATTTATAAAGATCCAATATTATTTTAAGTAACTATTCTATTTTAGTAAGGGAGATGATTTTCACGCATCCATTCTTATTTATGACCATCAGATTAAAGGTATCAAACGAAAACAATAGCAGAGATCAAATATGAGTGTGTGATGTTAAAAAGGGTGTGTGTTTTCCATTTGTCATTTACTAAATTTATATAAATCTTTTAAGTATGTATGTAAATGCACTCTTGAATGTAATCGTGTTTGCTTTAGTTGCTAGTTGAGATTTATAGATAAAACCAATTGGAACCACCGAACCTGATCACTCATGTTATTTGTTACATGATGCTACTTCTCATCGATCTACTTGTAAAATTCCGTATTAAAAAAATGATTATATATGTATGTGTGGGTAATTATTTTTACATAATGATTTTATTAGATTTCAAAATCTTTTTTGCAACGAAATTATTTCAAAAAAAACTAGCTAGTATTATTTCATGTTCATATGTAATTGGAAATGTTTTTAGTTTGACTTGGAGAAGGGTGATTATATGAGATTGGCTTGATATTTTTACCAAATAAGGGTGTGTTGACAAGTTAATGATTGGTGATTGGTGATTATTCACCATCTAAAATGAAAAGCTGGAGAGTCTAGCAGCATTGTATACGTTGGTATCTTTGCAGGTGACAACATCTTGGGGTTATTAGGAGTGCGCAAGTGAAGAGGTGGAAGTCTTGCATTGTATACGTTGGTATCTTGCAGGTGGCAACATCTTGCCGTTATTAGGAGTGCGCAAGTGAAGACATGTGTGTAATATCCAGAAGTAGCAACTGGTGGTATGATTCCATTCCATATAAATTAATGAAGGAGAAGAGCTAGAAGGAAGGGAAGAACACATAGGAAAAAGAAGGAAAAACCTCCTCTCCGTTACAGACCATTCTTCTCACTCACCAGTTATTTTACCTTATGTAAAGGCTCTAAACCACCTTCACAATATATTTTGTAAATCTCTTGTACATAATGAAATCCAAATGCATGTGCAAGTCGATTTACCGAACTACAAATGAAAGGAAGAAGATAGCATTAGAAAGCAAAGGAAACAAAAAATGGATGCTCTTGGTCATCATCACGTCAAGCTCACATATCGTCAACTTATCTCTTTATCATCAACTTAGTCTCATCTTTCACATATCAAACTTCTACAAAAACCAAAACCACGAACTCACATATCGTCATAAAATGCTATCCTACATATTTATCACCACCAAAAGCTGCACTGCCAGCAAGAAGTTCGATGTATCAGGGACGCCAACCTGCAACGACAACGTGGCCTTTGGCCAGTCAACCTCACCAATGGGAGTCATGGCAGACGAAGACGATGTCGTGATTAAGACTCGTACAACTGAGAAAGCTATATTCTAACAGAATTGCTCTATGGAACTCAAATGAGGTTATGTATCAATATCACCTAGAGAGAGATGGAGTAAAATGGTAAAGTAATTTTTCTCAATTATATTATTGTGTGCGTTATCAATACTTTATTATTGATAATATAATACAATTTTGGCTACTAATTTTGATTAGTTTTGCAGATTGTATGATTATTATAGAGCATGCAATAATTGACATCCATATTACTTTGCATATACATAAGCATTTATGCAAAGTAAGAAAAAGAGCCGTGTTGCTGTAAACATGAATTTTCCGTAGCAAATAACAAAAGAACACATGTACAAAGTAAATTTGTATTAATGAATTAGTAGGGTTAACAATCTTTGTTTACAAATTTCCTCTTATTTGATCTCCGAAAGATGTGTAGATGTGTAGGTTATTGATCCAAGGGTCATGATGCCGTTGACTTGGTCTCGGATGAACGGTTGCCGAGAGGTTTTGGCTCTTGGTGAATGGAAGGATTGACACGGGTAATAGTGCTTGATGATTTTTCGAAGGTTGGGTGAAGAATGCATAGAACTTTATGAATTCTTCTAAGTTTTTTGGGGCTTTGGGTGCTTGAACTTTGGCAACGTCTGCTTGAATGATTTCTGGATCCTTTTCTTTGTCTTGGAACCTTAATATTTCTAAACTCTCCAAGCCTTGACTACGAATGGATTTGGCCTTGATTGTGGGCTTGATTAATTGACAAAAAACCAGGACTCGATTTGTGGGCCAGTTCATGATTTGACTCCATCAGTTAATATTTGATTTAATTAAATTAAAACCAAATAAATTAATTAATTCCTTTCAGCATAGTGTTGACACGTGTCTCTCTTGATGACTCTTTCGATTTTGATGAGTCACATCCATGTGTACGATTTGTGAGACACATGGCGTATGCCACTTATGCCCTAACATGTCGAAACCTTAATGTGTTGGTGAACATTTATTTCACTAAAATTTTGATGTCTACAGTTGTGTCAAGTACTCACTTGTGTAAGTGTTTGACTTGTGAAGATATTCAATGGCTGAAGAATGCCTTAAATATAAAATAATGAAATCTTGTATATGCCAAGAGCCAGGGGAAAAGTTTGAATATACAATTGAGCATTAGGGGAAGTGCCTTTATAATAAAGTGAAAATTGAGAATTTAATTCTGAAAAATTGNCGTGTATATCTGTCGATGTGGCTTTGATCCAAAAGGGACCTAAATTGCATGTTACCCGGCTGAAGGTTGGGTCGACATAAATAAAAGGAAGGAACACCAACTCTGTGGGCCCATGAAATGATGAGAAGCCCACATTTAACCTACCTTTGTGGAATCTCATAATTGGATCCTTGATTTTAGCGACAAAATGGAGCTTCTAGTACACATGTGCTTTCAAACCCAAATTTAGAAAGGATAGTGTTATGTACACGTCATTTTTTTTACATTATGTACGTTTTCTAATTTTCAATTTTTGGATTGAACTGATTGAAGATGATCAAATGACAAAAATTAAGAGACGGTGTGTGGGAGGTAAAAAGAAATGTGTGGATAGTACCACCTTTTTAAGAAAATAATCTACATAAAAGCTGGTTCATCGCTATTGTGATGTTTCAATTCAATATACAATATTATGTATTGTTATGCTATACTAATTTCTCTCTTTTCCAAAATAGATCTAAAAACTCCATAGCCATCGGCCCTTGCTGTGACTTGGGGCCGGTGGCACCCCCTTTTGCTAGCCTTCCTCCTTCCTTTTTTTTAATTGATTGTTGCATTTTTGTTTTTCGTTTTAGTATTTTCGTCTATAAGTGCCTCCTTGGTGAGGTTATTAGTGACTATCTCCTAATAATTATTGTAATTTTGTATTCATGTGTTATGAGCTGATATTGGGTCTACTTTGCTGTTTCTGGTGGTTTTGCTAATGGTGTTGAGCACAAAATTCATATTGGTATGGACACTAATTGGTTCCTTTCCAGTTCCTCTTTGGAGTTGGAGCTGCTCATTGTCAAAGAGTGTTCTCATATTTGTTATAAAGCAGTTTTTTCTTGCAAAATTTCCTTAAGTGCCAAATCATGAAGTGTTTGACCCTTTTCACCTGGAATGGAGTTAATTTGGATTTTTAGTGTCATCTCAATTTTTTGAGTGTGGATGAATTCAAAACTTGGATGCTTCTTGCCCTCGAATCCACCAATACGGTGGTAAATAGTTTGGCCAAGTTGGCGTTTTATGTTTTTGTTGAAATCTCTTCGGATTTAGGAGATTGTATCCAGAATATTATCATTGTCTAAAAAAATATACAATATTATGTGTAAGGTATTTTTTTTTATTTGTTCACATTAAACCGGAAAAAACATGCAGCAATAAAACTCTTTTCATACAAAATATTTTCGAAATTGAGCCAATAAGATCAGATTATTACTTTAGTCTAAAGAAAGCATTGCAATTGGCACTGTTCTTTACTGTTCATTGTTTTTGGACCCCAATTTCACTCTATTTACGGACTTGCCATTCACTAAGGATTTCGGCTGGGCTTTTTTCTTT